AACAATTTTTATGCTGAGCCTAAATGTACTCGAAGGCAATTTCAGTTGGCAAAGTATCACAGCGCAGATTCAACCATATGAAATATTTACGTTTTTAAACTTTGACGTATTTTTAAAACTGGCATTTTCTAGATTATTAAGTACATTGTAGGTTTTATAACCACAATTTAATCTCTAATGATAGTAAATCAAGACATCAACTACACTTACCTAAGATAACTATTTTCTTAGCTATTTTTTTTTTTTTGTAAAAGATTTATGTTTATGCCCAAATTTACTGAAAATTTGATACCCAATCTCCCGGTTACATTTCCAGTATTCACCAACTGTTTTGTACTAAGCAAAAATTGAACTCAACCTAAGGACAGAAAATATCAACTCCAAACAGGAAAAAATAAGTCTGTCCACTAATGTTTTCTGAAACATAAGATTTCTGCTTAACTCTAACGAAAAAAAAAAAGTCATTCAGGCTATTCAGAAATTAGCTTCCATGTCTCATCAAAATGAATCACAACAGTGAGACAGAAAGAAAAGTAATACCTCCCTGTAAATGCATTTACAGTCAGAAGTTAACAAGCCAGAACATTTAGGAATTGGGTCAAATCCTATTTATATAATAAAAATTTCAGGGTGAAGGAAGACGGGAACTTATTTACTGAACACCTACGATGTGCGAAACATACATAGTTTTTTAATCTATTCAATCCTCAAAACTGCCAAATGAGATAATAGTGTATTTTTGCAAGTGATGAAGCTGAAGCATAGAGAAGAGTTAACTGGCCTAAGGCCACACAGAAAAAATACATCCGTACATTTTTTTCAAGAACATCTGTAAGTATTTTGAAATATACAACTGTTGGGTTTTTGGTTTTTGTCAGTTTTAGCCTTTCAAGTCATTTGCGCAGAACCCCACTCTTTTTCATTGTAAAATAATCACATTTGCAAATTTGGAAATGTCATAAAACAAAACAAACCAACCAACCCACCCTGTAATCATTCACATAAACACTTGCATCAATAATTTTATGTAACTCTTCCAGTCTCTTTTTTCACCCTCCTAGGCCAAAAACCAGGCAGGGTAGTAAACATAACACTAGCTGGAGGTGGGGGGAGGGGGGCTGATGGTCCATACTCAAGGCCAAAAAGGAAACCAGAGATGAAAACTCATCTGAAGAACGTTTTAAGCCATGAAAACCATTCATCGGCCCTGGGACGGAGGTAGGTTAGGCTGACTGAAAAATCTTCAAAATTACTCCCAACTGTAGTCTGTCCTTTGGAAAGCGCGGTTATAAAAATGTGAAGAAATGCGTATATCCAGGTATTTTCAACTGGACTATCACTGTAAAATCCCAGTGGAATTTAAGGTGGTTACTGTTAAGCATTCAGACTATTCCTTTTCTGAACCACCTACAGCCTTGATTCTGGGGGCAGTAATCTAATCAGATTATGACTAGTGGAAATTTCTTCAGGAGATCAGAGAGCTAAGAAGCCAGAGTACAGGCATACTTCCTCTGTCGAGTAATGCTTTCGCCTTTTTACACTAGTTTCTCTCCACTCCCTAACATTTTTACTTCTCCAGGACTCCAGAGCCTGAGGCCTAACACAGCCCGGAAAGCCTCGGTTTAAGGGGCATCGGGGCAACTCCGGTGCACGCCTTGCCAGAGTGGGCACAGTTGTGTCTTTCAGACGTTGCCATCACGCTGCCGCGCGTGCCGGGTAAACACACGTAGGTTTCTTAGCGCTCTGGCAGCCACAAGAAGGGCCCGCCCCAAATGGGTGAAATTGCGGATACTCTCCCGAGAGCCTGGGAGAAATCCGGACGGAAAGAAACGCCCACAGCAAACGCCAGGCCAGGCGCTTCCCAGCAGGCTGTGCGCGCTCCTACAACTCCCATCATGCTCCATCCGGGACAGCACTGCTCCTCGCAGGAAGGCGGCAGTTCACCCCGCCACCTGTCTAAACACATTCTTTAATACTCCTCGGTGTGCCTCTGGCATTTTCCGGTGCTCTTCAATCCCATAAACAAGAGCACCAAGTCTGACTTTCTAAAACTCCAAGGAGGCGTGGCTTCGGGACCGGAAGAACGTCCGGTTGCCTAGGGAACGCTACGCGCCTAGGCTCCTGCCCAGCCACTGATGCTCCGGCTGTGGCACAAGCTACCAATTCACCCAACTTGTAGAAGCGGCTTTGCTCAGGAGCAGGGATTCTTCCAATGGAAGCATAGAGAAGAAGGCTGAGAGACGCCCGATTCTTAACCCAGAGACGGATACGAGCGAGTGGCCCATTCCTGTATCTCTTCAGCTCCTGGGCCCGCAAGACCAACCTCAAAGACCAGGTATCTCCCTGCCCCCTATCTATCTGTAGCCAGCGCTGCCACCACCGCCACCACTCCCGCCGCGTTTTAGAATTGCGTTTTAGAATTGCTTTTTACTCTTTCCTAGTTGTTTTTTTTTTTTTTCACTGTGTACCGTTGTTTCTAAAGTTTAAGAGGTGGAAAAGGAAAGCTGGTTTATGCGGTTAGTACAAGGGACCCCAGAAAACTCGTTGAACTGGGTTGGGCATGTTTGTTTGGTTTTAACACCGCCCAGTTTTTTGTTTTTATTTGGTTTGTGGAAAACGTAATTGAAGTTTCATCATCAAAAACTAAAAGCCTAATAAAAATGCCTGAAGTACTAAGAGTGAGCTATAATTCACTCTAGGAATACTCCTAGAGTATACAAAGTTTACAAAGTACCATTCGTGGTGTTTTCTCTGCCCGACCACTATCTCTGAGGCCTACTTTCCAAGCCCTTTACTGTCTGTGGATAACATCCTAATTCTTCAAGACTCTTCTGGCAACAAGTAATCCTTTAGAAAGAATCTCAGATCACAATCAAGAGAATTGATTGGTGTGCAGAGAGAGGAAAACAATAAAATAGTAAGATAATAAACTGGAAAGGTAGATTGGAGCCAAGATGTGAACCTTAAAAGCTATGGGAGAAAGTTTGGGCTTTATTCTGAAAGCCAGTAGTTCTCAATAGTAACTGTAAATCAGAAACACTGTGTAACTTTTCAAAATACAGATGCCCTAATCCCTTCATCAGAATTACTTCAAGTAGTTGATTCCCCTGTGCAGCAAAAGTTGACAGGGCTTTAGACTTAGTGAGCTACAGAAAACTTTAATTTTATCTCCCACTGTGCACATAGGGCATTGTAAATAAACATTAAGTGGCTTAAATTGTTATCTTTTCTTCTTTCATGCATGCAAAAATTAAACTTACAGAAATGTATGATTACTAAGAAATAGAAGCATGTATAAGGCTATAATTATAGCTTTTAGAACAACTGACTTCTAAATTGTATGCCCCCAAATATTTCATTAACAAGCATTAGGTTTGATAATCCATGAAAAAGGGTTGGAAAATCACAATCCAGGGTTCTATGGAAAATGAATTGAATATTCAAGTATCAAGCTTTTGACGATCAGTGCTTTATAGTGGATGCTCAAAGGAGGAGGATGTGAGAAGTAGTCATTTTTTTTAAAAAATCTGTTCAAATTGAATGAAAAATGGAAAACAAGATATTGCCTTTATATTAGTATGTTTGGTACAATAAATAACAAAGTGAGTAATAGCAAATCTACTCTCAATTAAAATGGTCTGTGTGAATTGCTTCATATCAGAAGGCTAACTTATAGTAGATTCTACAAATGCTCCTTAAGTGGAGATTTAAAGGAATTGATGGAGTGAGAGTTGAATCTCCAGCACAAGGAGAAAAGTGGCACAAGTGGAGTACCTGAGATCAAACCCATCTTTTGGATACAACAACTGTGGCTCTGTTTTATAGGCCCCATGCTTGTGTGGGGCATTGTACCTTCTCTTTTCTGAGCATCATTGGAATTCAGTTTTGAAATTTCCGTATGATCCCCCAACAGGCCTAAGCAAAATCGATGACGCAGCCTCCTTTTGGATGCACTTGTCTTGAGAACCTCATCATTTAAGTTGCTGCAAGCTCACAGCCTTCAAGGAATGGCCTTGCCTAGGATAGTGTGGGTTAAAAAGTACTGAAGGAGCTGGGGAATGACAGGCTTCTGGAACCTTAGATGGAGATGAGAATAAATCAATTAAATGAGATGACTATTTAGAGAACTCAGAAATGATAGTTAAAGTAATAGGAAATACTTTGGACACAGGCAGATTGCAGTTGCTGCTATAGCAGTCTGGGCAGCAGTTGAGAGCTGACAACAGGGATATCTCTCTTCTGCCATCACATTATAATGTTTTGGGGAGGGATGGACCCAAAGGGAGCACCTTGGAAAGTTTCATTTGGAATGTTCATAGCAGGTTATGAACAAACAATATGTCTAGCAATGTATATTAAGATAAATATATCTGTTAGGATTCTTTGTTCCTATTGATAGAAAATGCAACCTAAGCTGATAGAAGCAAACAAACAGAAACAGTAAATTTAATAGCTCACATTATTGCATAATACAACAATGGGCCTGGCTTCAGAAAAAGATTTAGCCAGTGGCACAAATAATGTAGCTAAAATCTAAGTTTTTCTCTCTCTTTTTTTTTAATCTGCCTTCTAAGCTTCCGCATTAGGCTTAGCATGAACCCCTTTGCCCATTCATTGTTCCAGATTTCCAGAAAAGGCTGCATATATTTTCAAGATCACAAGTGGCATAGTCCACACAATACTGAGTTTAACCACATTTTCTTCTTAAATATTATAAATTACAATGAGAAAAGTACAGTTATTTCAAGGACATTATTCTGTGTGTTACCTAGGGTTGTAAGCTGCCAATCTGCATTTCAGTTAAGGCTCCTTTGTGATAATCAGCTTAAATTCTGTTTACTAAATACAGAGCTACATTGACATGGTTTTTATCATTATGTCTTTAAATTATTAAATTTTTGATGCACATGCTCATATGTTCCTTACCTAAAGTGCCTGTGATTGATAGATCATTTTTACTTTCTGACTTGCAGCTGGTTTGTAAATATTTGAATCACATTATGGGATTGCTAGACAGACTTTCAGGCTTGCTTGGCCTAAGGAAGAAGGAGGTTCATGTTTTGTGCCTTGGGCTGGATAATAGTGGCAAAACAACAATCATTAACAAACTTAAACCTTCAAATGTAAGTATCTTTTTTAGATGCTTTAAGTATTTTCTGCAAGAGAAAGTTAATATGCAGTATTATTTTGTTTGCCATCATTACTTCAGATAATCATGTTATGAAATCCTGTTAACCTTGTAGTACGTTAAAGTAATAAATGTCAGGGTGCCATAATTTGCAGTGTATTTTATGCAGGTATACATTAGTAATACTTGTCTTGATAAATATGTCTTGATAATTATTTAAATTGGAATATTTTCCAAATGTCTTTTTTTCTCTAAAGATTCTCACAGATTTGCAAAGTTTACTCTTAGGTAGCATTGCCTTCTTTTTGGCTCTTTCTTAATAAGCAGAGGGAAAGGTGAATCATTTTTATGGGTTCTATGGATAATTAGACAGTTTACCAGGAGTGTGGTATACCTATCAGTAGTAGTAAACCGAATGACTTTAAGTCATAGAAGTAATAAGTGTATGAAAATATAATTTTAATAACTGTAAAATATATAAAGCTATACATTCAACACATGGTACATAAGTTGAAGTTAGGTTCTGCTACACATAAAGAAAACCCACATAACAGTGGACTAAATAAGTAAGAGGTTTCTTTTTCTGTCACCTAAATAAGTCCGAGGAGGTATTCCAGGGCTGCGGTCAGTTGTGAGATATCCAGGCATCTTCCATCTTTCTGTTATGCTATTCCAAGTGCCTGGTTTTCATCTTCAAGATCTCCACATGGTCACCTTGCTTAACTATTATATCTGTATTCTAAGTCACCAGGAGGAGAAAAGAATAAGCTGAAGGAATAGACCTTCTTCCTAAATAAGCCCTCTTTAAAGAGCTTACCCAGAAGCACCAACTGATGATTCCTAACTTACATTTCATTGGAAACCCCTAACTATAAATAAAGCTGGATTTTTTTAAGTTTATTTATTTATTTTGATAGAGAGAGCGAGAGAGAATGGGGGGAGAGGGAGAGAGAATATTAGACTCCTCACTGTCAGCGCAGAGCCTGTTTTGGGGCTCCATCCCACAAACAGTGAGGTCATGCCCTGAGCCAAAATCAAGAGTCGGCCACTTAACCGACTGAGCAACCCAGGTGCCCCTAAGCTGGATTTTTTTTTTGTTTTAAAGCAAGGCATACTGCTGCTTCCAGGAATAATAAGGATCCTGTAAGTATAGAAGAAGGAGAGAATGGATATTGAATAGACAACTAACATTTACAGTTGTAAATACACTTATTTAGGTAAAAGCCATTAGTGAAAAATGTAGAGTGAAAAAATAGACCTGCATACAGATGGGACAAAAAACAAGCTGGTACTTTTAATGACTAAATGGCAGAGAATGGGAAATATTGCTCCTAAATATAGTAGTTGAAGATGAATTTTATTGTCTTCAAATAATGCTTCAGATTGGGCAGAATAGACAGCCTTACTACTCCATTTTCTTTTGCAACAGCTTTAGTTTTACTTCTGTTTAGTTGGAGATTGCTTTGGAATTACAAAAACACCATTATTTCTTTTTTTCTGGTCATTATTCCCTTCTACATGGATGAGTTTGCCACAGAAAAACAACTAACTGCTGGTGTATCTTCAGGTTGGAGATAGTTTGAGGCAGCCAGGATAAGAAGTCGAAGATGGATTTGGAAGGCAATTTAGTTAATTTAAGGAGTTCGCCACTGAGTTGGGAGTCAGCTCAGGCATACATGCTGAAGTCAGGCAGAGATCAAAAATACCACCTTTGGGGTGCCTGGGTGGCTCAGTCCGTTAAGTGTCCAACTTCAGCTCAGGTCATGATCTCACGGTTCATGAGTTTGAGCCCCACATCAGTCTCTGTGCTTTCAGTGAAGAGCCTGTTGGGAATCTCTCTCTCCCTCTTTCTCTGCCTTTCCCCTGCTTGTATGCACTCTCTCTCTCTCAAAATAAATAAATAAACTTAAAAAAAAATACCAGCTTTATTTAAAAGGTTGATTTTGGAGGGTGAGGTTAGGTCTATTCAGAGGAGTTGCTAACACTCTATTGTATTGAGATTGGCCTCCCAAAATTTCAAGTTTTCCTCCTCAGGGAAAAATCCTACTCTTCTAGGTTTATTGAATGGCTAAGATCAGATGAGAGTGCATGCTTGTGATAAGCATGTGGCTTGTGATAAGCATGAGGAGAGAGAGGAAGAATGAAGAATGATCAGTTCACTTCACAAACTGGGCAAAGGAATAATTCTTTTCCCATGGAGAGGAATAAATTGGTGGAGGGGAGATTGAGAAATAAGGAGTATCATTTAATGAAGTTTTCTCTATATGAAGACAGGAAAAAAGAGATTTTTCCCCAATAAGGCAAAGATCAGGTCAAAAAGCCCACATACGTTGGAGTCTATCTCCTGACTTTGTGATTATATGAAATTTCTTTATCAGTCCTTAAGAGGAACATAAAGCAACCTACCCAGTTGGATGGGGTCCAGAATTGAATTTAAAGAACAGTGAATATATGTTAAAAGTAGAGCCATACCCAACTGTGCCTGGGCCCATAATCAGTACTGTGGATCAGCTATCAGAAGATCCGTATGGGCAAATGCTTAAACTCAGTGACTGGTGACCTGCATTTCTGTGGGTAAAGCTGTCAGCAATAAGCGAACAAGATTATAAGGAAATTTTTTAAGCAAGGGCCTATTCTGTCAGAGGTGTTTACACTTTTCTCCACATCAGAGAATAGCCTCAAAGGTAAATTTTTTTGTTTTGGTAAAACTGATCTCAAATAAGTACAAAATTATTGAAACCAGAGCCACCATTAATAACCACAAAATGGACCAGTCCCCCAATGTCTACTGTACTCACATTGGGAGAAATAACATTAAAAAAACAGAATAGAAATTACAGTCTCTTTTTCCATCCTCCCCAACAGTATAGTAATCTTATGTTCCAAAATATGGTTATTACTGTAGGAAGAATCTTCCTTGGTATGGATGCAAACAGCTTTCTTACCTGAACAAGGATATTCTTTTGAAGACAATGGCTCTTATTTTTTAAATTAGCTATGGATTTTTTTTCATAGTTTCTTTTGTCATTTCTAGGGATTTGGGTCAAAAAGGGAAGGAGACAGCATGTTCAGTCTGGATCTTAAAATAATTT